ATAGCGACCAGGCCATTCACAATAGAAACAATGCCTGGTCCTTCAGAAAACAGCCAAATAAACATAGCCCTGAGCCATTCACAGTAGAAACAATGCTCAGGCTTTGGTCGACCCGGTCAAACGCATGCAGTCTACCTTCCTCCCACCTTCCCCCATTTTATACCTTAGTCTGCTTTCAGTCACAAATAAACTGAAACTTATGCTTCACTCTCACACATTCTTTCCATTCAGTCTGATTAGGTCCTGAAGGGAGATAGACAAACATGGGTAGTAGTAGGCTGTACAGATGGAGATGGTATACCTGATGATTCCCTGCCTTCAGAACCTCGCCTAGGTTCCGGCAGAGCTCCCGCAATCGGTGGGTGGACTCTCCACAGAGTCTTGATGCGGTCCTACGGGTTGCAATCCCGCCTCCCGCCTTCCTCTCAGAACCAGGACTAGACTGAGAGTTAGAAAGAATAGAAATAGAAGGTAGAGACTCTCAGATCCAAGAATGGTGCTCTCAGTCTCGCAGGAGAGGGCCTTAGTATCTTGGATCACCTGAGGGCCCCGCAATGGCAGCCAATATAATAGCTCAGTCAACTCTTGAAGCCAAAATGTTGAGCCAAACTCCCCTGACAGACTCCCGAATCGCAGCTATAACTCTCCCTCTTGTCCAATCTGATCATCCCTCCAAACCTCGCCTGATCGCGGCCGCTCACCAGCTGTAAGAGTCAGCAGTCACTAAGAGCGGCAGTAACAGTACAAGGTAGTGGTCAGCAGCAATAGCAGCAGTCTGCGGCAGCTCGTAGCAGTCCACAGCAATGGCCAGCAGCAACAGTCCGCTGGACCGACTAGCCGTAGTAATTCTCAGCAGTAACGTTTCGCAACAACAAAAGTAGCATTTCGACGCACCAACAGTCCAAACTGCTCTGAAATCTCCGCAGCCACAGCCTTGACACCCAACAGTCGGACTCTCGCATATATGAGAGAAAGAAAGAAAACAATCCGCAGCCCCCTCCCCTGGCGGTAGTCACAGTCGCAAGCGCTCAGCGAGCCCATCAGGATGCTCGGATTAGCAGTGGCATAGCAGCTCGGCCTGTAGTAGATTCAGCAACTCAGCCCGTAGCAGGCATAGCAAGTCGCCCCGCAGTGGGCACAGCAACTCAGCCGCGCGGTAGGCAGAACAACTCAGCCCATAGTGACTCCCTGCAAATAACCGCAGTATCCCTGTCTCGAGCGACAACGGGCAAACAGGCAAGCCCCCTTACTCCCGAATGTACCTAGCTCATCCTCCGGTCGGGTTTATACGGACTTTGGTACAGCTGAGGGCGTACGACTACGAGTGGGGAAGGAATTTCGTAGACCGAGATATCTCCAGCAATGACGCAGTTTTGATAGCAGATAAGGTCGGGGTGAACCTCCTGCTGAAGTTCAAGCATCCGTACTCACCATATGTGCAAAAACGGGGGTTGACCTTTCGCTAGAACGTGGAAATATACAGTAATTCTCAGCCACGCACGCTGAGGGACAGAAAAATATCACTTCTTCATCATGCAGAGCGATGCGCCGGCAGCGAGGTACATCCGCAGTCCCGCAATTGGCTCCTTGCCCTTTTTGCCCGATAAGATRAGTGAATTCGTAATGAATCTTTCGTTACAACATGGTCGGATACGCCCCAACCACCCTGTCTTCCGAACCGCAGCGTCCGTGGTCCTATCTAGCGGTTCTCTCTCTCTCCCACTCTGGTCTACTCCGCCTGCTGGCTCACGGGCTGCCCGTGCTTGCAGCGTAAAAATGGGAATGAACCCTCCGCTAGAATGCGGATAGGTGCACCCACGTTGCACAGYCGTTCCTACTCAGCGCGGCTCACCCTCTTACTAMTACTAATTCTTAACTATAACTAACTTCAAACTTAGACTCGCCCCTCTCAGAAAATCTCGATCTGCGTTCTCCTTTTCTGTGGATGCACCTGGCGTCAAACCCGACCAGGTTCATTCGCCTTTCTCAGCCTTCTCCTCGTAGTTTTTCCCCGTCATGCACAACGCATCCTTCACTCCCTCGCCCCCAGCAGCACTAACACTAACATACTAACTTTAGATCTAACGCTACAGTCTAGCTCCCCCTACCCAAAAACCCCTGACTTCCACTTTACTTCGCTCGATTCGTGTACGAATCGAGAGAGAGATCGTTTTTTTCCCCTCTACCATGACCTWGACACTCCTCACGCAACATCTCTCTCTCTCCCAACTGTGATCTTACTAATCCTCCTCTAAATCTAACCCTTTCATTGGATTCGTCTTCCTTCAAATACCCCGATTTGCACCTTCCCTCACCCGTTTTCACCAAGGAACCGGTGAGCTCTATGCTTTTTACTTTTGCCTCTTCTTCTCCTATAGCCATTTTGGCGCAGCTCGTACTTCTTCCAGCTCCCTTTCTATCGGTCCTCTCCTGAAACTAACTACAGAATCGAATTCGCCTTACCTAAAAACATCGGGCTAACATCTTCCCCCGCCCGTTTCGTTGAGAAACGGACGAGCCATCTCCTTTCCACCCCGCCTGCCTCCACCATCGCCCATCCTTGGTGCGCATGCATCTGGCACCTCAGCCCGCCCAGGTTCACTCCACCGTCCATGCTTCCCTCTGCTGCCTCGTCGCCTGGCCGCGACCAGCGACCACGAGAGTACCAGGTGGCCACACTCTCCGAACACCGCCACACACGGGCGAACTGCCGACAGCCTTGGCCTACCCGGATTCATTCCTTCTGTCGTTCCCCAACTCCTCTCTATCACCTTCCCTTGCTCTGCCTCCCGTTACTCCTCTGCCTGTTGCCCGTCGCTCTCCGCCTCAATACCCACTGGTCTCCTCCCTGTTTGCTTGCGCATGAATTCGGACGCAGACAACGTCCGGGTACATTCCTTTCTGCCAGTCGTTCCCCGGCGCAGCACCTCCCCTAGTGTCCGCCTTCTTCCCCGTCACTCCGTTCGCTCTCGCTGTTGCGTCGTGCCACACTGCCCGTTCCTGTTGATCTCTACTACTAACCGGCTGCTCACATCGGCCTCGGATCCGGCACTACGACTGGTTCCTCCAAGCAACAGGGCGCGGTCCTATAGCTGCGCTCTACCCCGCTCATCAACCCCTGCCACTCTGAGAAAAACTCCGGTGGGTACCAGCAACTGGACGGTCCCAGCAGCCCCCACCTCTCAGAAAACTCTGGTTGTCGGCCGGCCCTCATTTTATAGCCTTTACCGGTTCCGAGGCCCCACGCCAATCTACTCTTTATTGTTCCAATTTTAACGGATGTCCCGAAGGACTTAGCCGCGGTGGTACCCCCACCTGCGGTTCTCTAAGATGTGGACTGCCAGTCGCGGTACCGCATATTGAACCAAAACGGGACTGCAAATACCAATAGAAGTAATAGGTAAATATCAGAAAAAATAAGATAAAATAAATTATTATAAAGTAGAAATCCCTAAGCAGGCTGCGGGGACTGCTAAACCCCACTAGTCCCGTTGACCGGGCCTGTCGCCGCGCTCGTCAAAAGAAACCGAAGGGGGATATAGCCCCGTTGGCCCTCAACCCCCTCGGTTTTCTCCTCGATGCTCCGCTGCCCCCGCACCGACATCTGCCGGCCTCAATCCCCGAACCTCCGTTGTAATAGTCCGATGTCGTAACCTATAGCTCTAAGCCCAAGCCTGAGACCAAAACACGCCGAGTACCATATAAGACGGTGCGGCGCGGCGCTTTGGGCCAACAAAACGGCTGCGCGGCTCCTAGTGCCCGCGCCAGCTTGCTTATACCATGCCATAATTGCCCCGCGCGGCATCCTACGACATCCCGCTCATCGCACGAAGTCGCGCTGTCGTTGTCGATGCCGTCGTCGGGGTCGTTTCTCCGCACGTGCGCTCTACTCGGTCAAACGTAATCATCGAAAGAAAATATCCTTAATCCCTGCTTAATAAATAAATAATAATATCACCAAGCGAAACGACCGAGGTCCGGGCCGGCTTTA